GGGGTGCTTGTTTTATGTGAGTCCCCTTGCCTCTCACAAATCGGGGTGCTTGCTTTATGTGAGTCCCCTTGCCTCTCACAAATCGGGGTGTTTGTTTTATGTTCACTTAATGAAGTAAGTGTTCGAAATTTCGACCTTCCACTTCAATACATTTGTTGACTCTTTCTTCAAATGACTTTACACAGGACAGTACCATATCTGCGGGAATTTCTGCGCAAGCATTTCTTATGCGTTCTACCATGTTTTCGCGAGTTGTTGGCACTTGTTCGTATACCTTACCTTTTAGGTAACCCCACAGAAAGAAATCCGGCGATGTTAGTCAGGTGACCTAGCAGGCCAATTAACTGGGCCACCTCTACCAATCCACCGACCATTGTAATCACGGTCTAGTATTTCCCTGGCTACTGCTGAGAAATGTGCTGGGCAACCGTCATGCTGAAACCACATTGTCCTACGAACGTCCAAGGCAACATCCTCAAGTAGTAATGGTAGTTCCTGTTCCAGGAAATTTCGATATTTTATTCCATTCAAATTACCTTCAATAAAGTAAGGACCAATTAGTTTATTTCCTATGATTCCACACCAAACGTTCACCGACCAAGGACGTTGATGATTTACTTGTCGTAACCAGTGGGGATTTTCTACACTCCAATAATGCATGTTATGCCTATTAACGCCACCATGGTTCGTGAATGTAGATTCATCTGAAAATAATACATTAAGAAAGAAACTGCGGTTCGCTTGCAATTTTTGAAGTGCCCATTCACAAAACACCACTCGATTACGAAAATCAACGCCATAAAGTTCTTGATGCAGTGATATGTGATATGGATGATACTTATGACGGTGCAATATTGTCTGAATGCTACCTCTGGAAATGCCGGAATAGCGATGTAATTGCCGAGTGCTTACATGTGTGTTTTGTTGAACAGCTGCTAGCACAGCTATTTCATTAGCTTCTCCTGTAGCCGTTAACCTTCGTTTTCTTTTTTTAGTTTGGACGCTGCCATCTGAGTGAAAGGCATTCACAACTTTGTAAAAAAAAGATCGTGAGCGAACATTGTCTGGAAAACGCTCAGCATACAAGGCAACAGCATCGTCAATATTCCTCCTACATTCACCATAAATGAGAATCATTTCGATTTTTTCCTGAACCGTAGCAGAATTCATTTTTTACTTGCAATTCTGTTCAAGGAATGAAGGGTACACAATAGAAACTAGCCAAGTAAAGTGAAAGCTTTGATTCTGAAAGAAAAGTGACCTCCGACCGAATTACTGTACCTTTATGACAGACTTGAAAAACAGTCAACAATCCAGTTGAATGCAAGATGATACTTTTTCGCTGCATGAGTAAAATCAGTGAGAAGTATCTCTACTGTGGAACAAACTACGCATTCGCTGTTGAAATTTCCGTTCAGATTTTGCGTATCTCTTACCGTTTTCGAGATATCTGAGAATTTCGCATTTGAACATTGTTACCTACGCCTATGCCGAACGTCACGACATGCGCGGCTAGGCAACGATCTGTATGTCGTCAGTCAGAAGGTCGACATAGTCAGTCGTGTTTAGACATTCAAAATAGACACACTCGTATTGTCACTCGGTATTCCGCATATTACATATCGGCATTTTATAATAGCACATAATTCTCATTAAAACTAAGAATCAAGATTAGTGACAAACACAACAAACATAAAGCAAGCACCCCGATTTGTGAGAGGCAAGGGGACTCACATAAAACAAGCACCCCAAAAGGAACAGAAAAATACTACGTCCACGTCGTTGTTCCCGGGTAACGCAAAATGTATTTTTTGATACATTTAATAATGAACTCCATGATTTTTTTCCCCGATACTTTCCATTATTGCTTCACGTATGAAACATTACAACAATAATATCAAATCAAGAATCACCATCAGAGGGGGGGGGGGTCAAGTTTGCTTTCTTTGGAAGGCAGCTTTTAAAGCGAACAAGTTTCATTAGCCACCTTTTTTTTGTTCTCGAGTTATTTCAATGTCTTCTGATAAATTTGGATTTTTATCGATTACAGCGCCACCTGTGAACCAAAATGTTAAAGTTCGTAGGTCAACTTGGCGTACTTTTTCCTGGAGAATCCAAATTTGCAATAAAAAATTGGGGTTCCTATTTAAGTTTCTTATGTCCCCCACCCCCACCCCGCCCCCGGGGGGCGGTAGGGGCCGAGTTTGGTATCATTGGATTCCCCCCTTCGTGTCGAGCTACTTTCGTTGCACTTCTTTTTTTATCTTATGTATAGTTCTCGAGATATTTCAATGTCTTCAGATAAATTGGCCACCCTGTATATTTAATTATAGTTATATAATCATAATATATTCTCGAAATATTTCAGAAATGTCGTGTGCAGTGTACAATTGTAAATCTGGTTCTCACGCATTTGACAGAAAAATTAAATTATTTTCATTTCCACAAGATCCGGAGATTAAAAGAAAATGGCTTGTTGCCTGTCGACGAACCGAGGGAGAATTGAAGGTAGAAAAAGGTATTCGTTCTTTTATTATTATTATTATTATTATTATTATTATATATTTACAGAAATTAAGCAAAGCTTCTTTGCTAAATGTTAACAATTAAATCATAAATAAATGGTGAGTTAATAAAGTACTATTTTATATATTACTTGATTACATATAGCACAAGTCTGCGAACTACATTTTGGACCAGGTTACATTGAAAACAGAGTGACTCGAAAGACAACCAAAAACGTAACTCCACGAATGATGAAGAGGTTGGTGAAAGGGTCAATTCCAACTCTTCATTTGGACTTGGAGAAAAGAATCCAGAAAAAGACATTCAACTTCTGGACACAATGTCAACCATCGACAAGTGAACCAAACCCAAAAATGCCGTAAGAATCGTAGTAAATAAAGGAACAACAATAATGTAATTCACATAAATATGTGCTTTTGCATTTGTATTTGTTTATGTTAGAAATTAGATACAATACAAATTTGTTATGTATGACTTGCAAAACATTACATATTTTTTACAGCAGTAATAAAACTTTTATCAATGAATGAAATAATACATTTCAGTCACATATATTGAACGTTGATGAAAAATATTTACATATGTTTAATTACAATTGCAGTTCTAATAATTAAAATTAACTGAATTATACATTTGATTCACAGATAATGAGTTTTATGCCGAATAGTTTCTACGATGAGAGTTTCATTACATTCGTAGTCAATTAGAAATGTAATAAACCTCTGATCATATAAACTATTTAAGGGTAAAATTCGACCACCTGCGACAAAAATGTACAATTCAGTATTCCATCCTTTTTACTTACATTCGTTTTCATGTAGACGAACTGGAATACCAACATATCAAGACCTCGTGGACGGAGCACATAAATCTCTTTCTGCGACAGTAACCAATGAACGAAATGAAGACAATAATGTGGATATTGCGGCAGACGAAAGGCTCATCCAGGGCAGTAATTCCTTGGATGATGCCCACCTAAAGATTCAGCAATTGACTCAATCGAAACATGAACTTGAGAAACGTATTCTCCAGTTGGAGGAAAATTTAAGAGCCGAACGTTCAAGTCATGCTAAAAAGGATGCAGTAATTGTCAACTTGAAAGCTACGATAGAAAAGGAAAGACGCGATAAAGCAAATTTGTGTAAGGTTTTCACGCCAGCCCAAATTAAACGTCTACTAGAGCCAACGAAAAGCAGAATAAATTGGTCAGCAGAAGATATTGCACCAACTCTTGCATTAAGGGCCATAAGTGGAAAAGCTTACAGATATCTGCGGACAATACTAGAAATTCCTCTTCCATGCGATTCTACCCTTAGGAATTGGATTTCAAATTTTAGAGTTCAGCCCGGATTGCTGGATAGCGTGCTGAAGATAATGAAGTACAAAGGCAGTACCATGCTCCAGGCAGATAAATTAACTGTACTTAGCTTCGATGAAATTCACATTTCAAATAAGGTAGATATCGACAAACTTGAACAAAAAATTTATGGACCTCATAAAGCTGCGCAAGTAGTAATGGCTCGAAGTCTTTTTGGGAAATGGAAACAACCCATCTACTATCAATTCGATACAGCTATGACGAAAAAAATCCTATTTCAAATTATCCAGTCATTAGAGGATGCTGGATATGAAGTCATCGCTATGATTTGTGATATGGGGCCTACAAACAGAACATTGTGGAATGATTTGGGCATAAATGTCGAGTCTGTGGATGACATTAATAATGCGTTCGCCAATCCCAGAAATGAAAATAAAAAAATATTTATATTTGCAGACGTACCGCACTTAATAAAGCTGTTAAGAAACAATCTTTTGGACTCTGGTTTCGTGACTTCTGACAATAAATTACTGCAGAAGTGTATACTACAAGAGTTGCTAACCTTAAATGGAGGAGACATGAAAGTAGCATATAAGTTGACTCAAGACCATTTAGATGTTAAAGGATTTCAACGACAAAAAGTAAGTCTAGCCGCACAGATATTTTCAGCAACAAATGCTAAAGCTATTGAATTTTGCGGAAAACAAGGTTTCCTAAAACATCCTGATTGGTCTGAAATGTCAAGAATGCTCCTCTTAGTGAACGAGTGGTTTGATGTCATGAATACTTCGTCCAAGTTTGGTGCACATAATGGATTGCGTGGATATGGCGTAGATCTAGATCATCAAAACTCTATCTTAGACAGAATGTCACAATTTGTGTCGAGTATGCGAGTGATGGAAAGAAGAACAGGATTACCCAAATCACATCTTTCGCCCTTTCAAAAGGGTATTTTACTTAGCAATAAGTCGCTGAAAGAATTGCTCGTATATGTACAGCAAAAGTACACGACATCGGACTTCCATCCTCAGTATATACTGACTCGAAGGTTGTGTCAGGATATCCTCGAGAATTTTTTCGCAAAGATAAGAGTCATGGGGGCAATGCATGGACACCCGTCCGCTGTAGAGTTTCAGCATCGTATGAAATGGGCCATACTAGCAAAGCAATCGGAAGATGTTATGTGCTCCAAGAACAATACAGAATCGGACCCAACTGCAGAACCAATCTTAGATTTCGAAAAGCTCCCTACGAATCTTCAAAGCTTATTTCATTCCTCTGAAAATGATGGTGACTACGATTTTAGAATTGACGCAGATTTAGTGGAAGAAGATGTCATCAATTTCGCCGAAGATGAGAGAAAAAGAAATGATGCAAATGATGAAGGTAGATTTCCTAATGGGGCATAACATTTCATTAAAATTCTATTTCCTATTTATTGCGTTTTTAACCATAATTATTAAATAGAAAAACTAAAATTCAAAATGGCGGAACCAGTATGACGGCTAATAAAACGATTAAATGCTTTTTCTTGCAGTATTGAAATTTAACGTTTCTTACACGTCAGTTTTACCAATAATACATCTACAAAGGAGCTGTTAATGTCATTAACAAAAGTAATTGTAAAGTACGAGTCTTTCTGCGATTTTCATTTTCTCTTTCCTTAGACGTCCTTATCCTCAACCACAAACCTTCCCATGATGAATGGAATCTTTTAAAGACATTTGAAAATGATGTTGCTTATCATAAAGTTGAGCATGAAGGGTTACTGTACATGACGGGATATGTGGCTCACCGATTCCGTTCCACTTATCCACACCTTGGCCTTCCTACTTCCCAACTGTCGAAGAAAACAACTGGATATCATGTGTATCCAGGGGGAATTGTATCCGTCCTTCTGATGATTTTAAAGAAGCGGCGAAGATAATGGAAGCTGCTTTTCATAAATTTCACGGCAAAACAGTGAGCTATGAATGTAAGATTTTTGACAAACTAACGCAGCAAATTTCATTGCAAATCAACGAAGAAATTTTTCCTTCCACAGTTATACACTGCTGGGTTAGGACCAGATTCTACATTAGGATTAAAAATATTAACATTAAAATTACAGAAATGAATGTTTTAAAGAATGGTAAAGGAAAACTGCGAAAATTAAAGCGTATCACTAATAAAACCGTGTAAGAATTTTTATGTACATATTGTATTATCTAATGTATAAAACGAAATTACCAATAATAGTTACGGTATTAATAAAAAAATTGTTTTGAAATTTTATTTTGTCATTTATTATAAATTGTAGTAATTAATTGCTTATTATTTCTTAACCACGCTCCAGAAGAGGGTCCCAAGTGGCCCGAAAGTTCATTCCTACTTTATTCCTAATTCATTGTGGGATAAAAGTCTTTTTCACCAATATTTATATTTAAAATTTCCCCTACATTTTTAATACATTTATTAGAATATATAGATTATTATATTTCTCATTATTATTATTATTATTATTATTATTATATATTA